TCAGCTATAAACAGCTAATATCAAAACCTATAAATTCTGTTGATGAAAAAAGTTATAGGTAAATGAATGTAAATCAAGGTATGAAATGGTTGTCCATGCCTGGTGCACGGCAAATTAGAACGACCCAAATTTGAGTTTAGTGAATTCATAAATCACATAAAGGCAGGAACTCAGCGATAAGTAAATTTGCCTCATGTTTTTCGAGGTTTGCCCAGGAAAAACTTCCCGAATATAAGAAAAGTAACGATTAGATTCACTCAGCCTTTTGGTACTACTCCTAGACTGATCAAAGTTTTCGTCAACATTCCTTGATTTTGGAAACCATGTGGCAAATTTACTCATCGCTGCGTTCCTGCACTTTTGGCGATTATGAGTGAACTAAACTCAAATTTCGGTCGTTCACTTCTATCGGTATCGTTGACCTTTCTATACATATTTATTTCACTCATCTTGTTTCTTGGAAGTAGCCTAAAATGTAGTTTTTTCTTAACAAACAACATTGAAAATCGGGGGGTACAGTTTTTGAAGATTTTGGGTGTAACATCCATTAAAAGACGCAAGTTTGCATATCTAAATAAAAAATTTGAAATTATCAAGCATCCTGAAGCTACACCGAGTAATTAAGTTGTTTGAAACTAGCAAGATCAGTTGCTTTTTACTTCTTTCGTCATCTTGATCGATGGGCATGGAGAGTGCTTCTACAAGTACATTAATATGAATTGTAAGTTGCGGCTTACCTGCCAGCCTATAGCTGGCCCGATTTACCCCGGCGGGGTGGCTACGAGCAGGGTACTCCCCCCAAAGACGTTCGGATTTGGGTGAAAGTAATAGAAAAGAGAAAGAAAGAAAGTAAATTTAAGACGTCTATTAACTAAATCCTGACCTTCGCTTCCTCCTCGCTGTCCTCGGTGTCACATGGTGGGGCCCTTCGACGACGGCGGCAGTGGCGGTGGTTCACGTCGGCTCCAGACATGGTATGTGCCGAGCGTCTCCTTCTTCACTATTTGGTTGCCTAGCAGCGGTCCTTAGCGTTTAGCTGGGGGATGAGCGAGGCTCCTTTTTCGGAACCCCCGTCGACGATGGTGACGAATCACCGGATTGCCTACTCGCCGTCAGTGATGGAAAAGTTCGCAAAAAATCAATATGACTCGCGAACTTTTCCCTTGGAGAACTTCGTGAAATATCGCGAACGTTTCCAACACTGCTCGCCGTAGACAATCCCGGCATACACCGCAGTGTTTATGCCCAGGTGAACGCTCCTTCGGTTCGACCTTCTTCGTCCTTCCTTGTCTGTTAGCTGTGGTGGCGAGACTGGATCTATTGGCTAAGCCACCACAGCGAGGACGGCACGCTCGACTTTTATGCTGATTTATGCTTTTGCCTTATTTTACAGCGGGAGGAGAAACGGGACCTAACTTCATTACAAACGCGAAACAATTCAAAACGATAATTTTTCCCCCTTCATTCTAGAATACCTAACATAACTATTTGAATAAAATTAAAGCCAAAAACTACGATTAAAAATATATATTAAAACAACAGCGGTGAGTATGTTTCATGAGCGTGCGACCAAAATAAAAACAAATCATGACAGACAACACACACGCTCATGGCAAACACGTTAAAAGGGTGGTTAATAATTGTCACCCTTGACGAGGGTTACACAATGTACCAAGCGTTACTACCATCAGCTGTTTGACGATTGCGATTGTGATAGGTCGCAACTCTGATTGTTAGTTGGAAACTTAATTAAGTGAGAGGGACTTGAAATTTTCTCTCCACTGTGCTCAAACGGCTCCAAATCGAGTTCTGATAAGCCTCCCAAAATTTGAACTCATTTGGTAAGAAACTGACTTGGCACAAACCATTTGAAAATACTAAAATTACAAATTACTATGGGAAAACCAAACCTTTTGTTCATTATATTTTATCCTTTTTTTTCATATTGCACTGTTTAAAAGTTCTATATCTATTCTTATGGGAAGCTTTCTCAGCTACAACTTTGCAGAAGATTTTTCTTCAGCCAAACATCAAATTAAATAGTTATTAATAATTTAAGATATTGATAATCTTATGGGTTATTTTATGGGCAACACTGTATTCTGCAGTGTGACATATTAGCCATGATTTTTGTGCTCTATTCTACGCGCCAGAAACACCATTGTTGCCTGCTAAGCAGTTGATTGAGCATATTCATTAATCCTCTGGCACGACCATTGGTTCTTGAAGCTGCCGTAAGTGATAGCGGTGCTGTTGGAATGATTTTAAGCTTCGATCATACGTTACCATGATCATGGCTTAGCAATGAGTTTCACCCATCCGAGTATGACCAACCGATAGGACGGTCATTGATTCTTGAAGCCACCGTGAACTCACTTTCATGCACTTCTTTCTTATAATTTCATAGAGCGACAGAAATCCAAATAAAAAACACAATTGAAAACACTAAACACTTTAAAAAAATTTATCAATACCACAACGTTACCATAGTTGAACGGCTTGGATGACTTTTGTGCCACCGGAGTGATAATCATAAGACCCCAGCGACTTGAAGAATTAATAACTTTATTCCTTCCTTCTTAGAACAAAGTTGAAGCTGAGAAAATTTCTCTACAAGCACAGTTATCATATTCTAAATCAGAGCGATGGTGAACTTTTAGATGGAAATGAAGAAAAAATTGGTTTTTCTATAGTAATTTCCATATAAACTTAAAATGGTTTGTGCCATGTCAGTTTGTTATTAAATGAGTTAAAATTCTGGAAGGCAAATCAGGACCCGATTTGCAATCGTTTGAGCACTGTGGAGTGAAGATTTCAAATTTTGCACCAGTCTAGTATGTATGGTATAAACACCGACAAACCGACATTAAACTTAAAGTTGACTTTTAATCGAAAATCCATAACGGCCGATTCAAATGTGCAGCGATATTATCTGTCAAAACGTCAAAACCATCGAATTATTTTATCTAGATGAAAATATTATCTGTTTCTTTGGTAACAAAACACGCCGAAAACGCCGCAAAAATCATCGCCGTACAAATTCCTACGGTGACGATTTCTGCGTCGGTTTCGACGTGTTTTGTTACCAAAGAAACAGATAATAATTTGTCCGGAATAGATTAGACACGAATCAACTCATAAGTTTTGTACGCGTGTTCGTTGCTAGGATAAATATTTTCCACGAACAAGGCAGCAGATGTCAATTTTGTGTTTTGGTCATAAATTTCAGTGTAATTTGTATGGTCATTCATGTCGGTTTGTCGGTGGTATAAACGTTATTGACAATTTATCAAAGATACAAATGTTTCAAGAGAACGGCCTTTGATTGAACCCACGACCTCGCTGAGTAGACACTCCTCGTGAAAATTAATTTGTTTATAAACACTGTTCTAAATCACGTAAATTTCATATTTCATCAAGTCACAGAACATTTGTCTCCTCCAGGAGGAAATTAATTACGTTCATATTACTGAATCTATAATTGAATAAAGTCTACACAAATGTTCCATATCAAACTCCGGCTGCAATACATCATCGCGCACACCTCCAGCACCCATCAGCCAACAACTCATCGCCTTCGGTGACTTATGACCACATCTGTATAGAGACATCCCGTTGACAGCATCCTGCTTTAATTCAATTAGTCCGGACCTACCTCCGCGCTTAAATTGAAATCGATCGAGTAGATAACAAATAAGTATTCGAAGGCCGGGAAAAGATCACAACACAATCGATACCACCGAACCCATCCACACCGTTAGATCCGCATCACCCCACTTAATCGATCGGTTTAAGCCCAGCTGGCAGCAAAGCTGCGCTCATTACTTATTCTTCAACGTTAATGTATGCACATATCGGAATTGTTTTAAAAATAGATCAAACCCGGTGGAATCGATCCCCGTTGTCAAGCAATTTCTGATCCCTGACACGGTCTTATGTAACGAAGGGTTCCACTTTCCAGTGGTAATTACATGGATGATGGAATAAAGTGACTTGACCAGCAATCAGAATCTAGTGCACAGCACAAACTTGACCCATTAGATTACACAAACTCGTAGTTTAAAATAACGCCTACCTAGCAACATAGTTTCCATAAAGTTCTCCACATAAATGCTCTCATATGTAAACAACTGCGCTTCCAGCACGTTCCACGTTTCCCACTGAACGCTGTTATTAGTAATCGACCGTGTACACAATTTTTCATCGTGTTATTTTGTTGTTGTAGGTAGGCCGACTCTCGCCTCACGCGTCTTCTCTTTCGCATCTCTACTTCAAAGCAGACATCGATTTTCCACTCATTCTTTCTCAGGCGGCGGGAAACGCCCGGCTCGACAAACAAAAGCTCACCTATGCCTACTGTGCAGTTCAACGTTTCAGTTGAAACCGTTGGATAGTTAGAAAAAACAAGAAGGGTAAAACCGCATCTTCATTTCTAAAATTTAGTAGGCTTAAAACCTGCATGCGTGCCAATTTCCACCCACGCACACTCACACCTGGAACAATAGATGGCGACCGACCAGCAGTCAGCCGGTAGCCGAAACAAGCGAAATGGCATTGAGCAATGTGCCACTAACCACAACATTGCGACTGCGACATGCGCTTACCATATGCTGCGGGCTGACTGACGGACGCGCGTCTCCAAGATGGTCCAAGTTGACTTCCAAGAAGAAGGGCCGGCTGAGCCGGGCCGCGCGCGGTAATCGTCTAATCAAATCATCGCGTTCACTATCGTTTCCTCTCACCCTGCCCCGCCGACCGTCCGTTTTGATCCACACCATTATCATTGATAGTCTTGACCGCGCGCGCGCTCTTCGGAAAGATGGTTGCAAAGGGGGGAGAGAACGAGCGTTAGAACTATGATTACTACTAGCAAATTTACTATAGTAATTGTACATTAGTGGTGGTGTAGTGATGGTTAAGGGGTACCCGGTGGGTTCCCGCTTTCAGCTATATAAACGGTCGGAAAACCGCTTATCGGCAGTCAGTTCTCAAGCGCCAAAACAAACTTTAGACTTCCACAAGTCGCTCTAGCCCTTCGCTGTGATAAGTGCAACAAATCCAGTCAACAACCTACCAATAGCATCGCAAAAATGGCATCGTTCAAAGCTGTGAGTGTTACGGGGAAAACAAATTTGGGAAAAACAATATAGGTGATAGCAAAGTTTACCAAGTGGAAGAAATAGTGCAATAGGTGGATAAGGTGTTCGTCGCTTACCAGAGCGTTGCAGTCTCTAGTTTTGAACGGTGGAGCTAAATTTGGTTTACGGTTCCCGCTAGTGAATCGAAGAATTTATCTGTCCATGCAGAATTTTTCGAATCACAGATATCTATCGCATTTATTAGGATAATGAGTATCATATTGCGCATTCCTATCAAACTGCAAACTGCGATTGTACTTCTAAAAAAAGTGCGAGTATCTGTCTTGTTGTCTGGGTGTTTGCCAGCGCACTTATTCCTTATGAAGCAAGAAATGAGTGTGCCGATGACAAGACATTTTGAAGGAAATATGCACTTTTATCACACTTTTGGGGTAGTCCAACAAGCAACAGTAAAACATGAATTGAAATAAGAAAACGGTTGCGTAAGCTCAAAATTTCTAGAACTTGTTAAATTACAATCCACAAGGTGTTCTAAAAAATCATTTAATAGGGGAAATGGCTTTAATGTTGGCCTATGGATCTATTATTGGGCCCATCGTTAAAAATCTGCTATTTATCAATTGTATCTAGATGAACGCCTCATTGGGACGGTACTAATGGATATTTTTGGTTACTATTGAAATTTAGTCGATTGCTGAATTTATGTATGGGCCCAAATTAGGGACACTTAGGCCGACATTACATACATTTCCCCTATATTAAACAAATGCTAGGAAATGGTTCCAACCATTAAGCGTTTGCTAGGCGACAAAAAATGCTGAATACTCTGTAAATAAAGTCATTCCCAGTTGTAAATAAAAGCTGTGCAATTTTCAGATGGTTTGATTGAAGTTAAAGCGAAATAAACAAACTGTGAAAACCAACTAGTTAAACAATGACATAGGTAGTGGATTTCCAATAAGGAGAATGGTGAAGAAATTCTAAATTGAATTCAAAGCAAATTGCCTGGAAAATTGTTTAAAGAGTTCCACGGAAATGCTGATGAAAAATCAAAGGAATTTTAATGAGAATTCCAATGGAATTCTAGCAAGAAGTGAAAAGAAGTTCTGAAGGCATATGAAAAAGTAAGAAAATTTTGAGGAAAGTTTCAAAAGAGCTCTGAATAAAATTCCAGGGAATCGATTCCTGCGTGCAGTTCTAAGAAAGAATCCCATAGGAATTTCTAAGAAAGGAGATTCTGAAGAGAATTTTAGGGAAATTTTCAAGAACCCAATTGAGTTCTCTTTAATATTGAAAAAAAATCAATATTTATAAATCATTTGATAGAGCTTCGTTTTCTGCGCATTAATTTTTTTTTTCGATCCCATTTAATTTCATCTCGATTTTTAAAACAAGTTTCAAAGCAGAATAATAGCTAACAAATTGGGTTGTTTAACTTTGAAAAATATACCGATTTTTATCATCATCTGATGGAGCTTCATTTTCTGAGCACAACGATATTTGTATCGATCCCGTAGACATTCATCTAGATTTTTAAATCAAGATTTAAATTTTTGATCATTGACACTAAATCTATTAGTTGACAGCTCGCTCCCACACAAAGTACCACCAAGAGGCGCTAATATGGCGATTTTTGCTAACGTAATCGTACTTATTTAAAAAAGTTCCAGTGTAGCAAAATTGATGAAATTTTGGATTTCGGTTTCATTTTTAATGCAGATAACGAATATGTATTTACCTCAATACCCTTAAATAACCCAATTGGCAGCTCCCATACAATGTTCCACCTGAGGTTCCACCGAGGGGTGCTAATATAATCACACTTATTTAAAATACTTCAAGTGTACCAAAACTGATTAAATTTTGAAACAAACATTGTGTAGTACTAGAATTTCGACTAGAATGGGATACATTAATCGTTTGCTTGGGACCAATAGGCTAGTCAAGTAGTGAGCCAATTTAAAATCGTTAGTTTCGTATTGATTGTTAGTAGGACTTTGTATGGGAGCAAGCTGTCAATTTGTTAGTTTAGTGTCAACAGTGAAGTTAATATAATAATTCTCGCTTACAAAAGTTGATAGGGCCTTTTCAAATGTTAAGTGAGTATTCTGCTTCAAATCTTGATTTAAATATCGAGATGAAAGTCTATGGCATCGAAAAAAATATCGTTGTGCTCAGAAAACGAACCAGTTCCAAAGCAATTCTCGCGTAACTTTTCAAAAGGTTCTAAGTAACATATGTAAACAAATCGAGTTAATCGATACAAACTATTACCAACAATCAATACGAAACTATCGATTTTAAATTGGCTCACTACTTGACTACACGAAACGAAAATCAATTATTTAATTCATGTTTCACTTATACATTTTTGCCAAAGCATCAGCCTTGTACATTCCATAAGACAAACCACATATGTCCTATTAGAATGTATAAAAGGTATGTGTGACCGCTTATACATTCCATTTGACACATGATCTTTATTAACTTTTTGCAAGGCGTCTGCTTATTAGTTGACTTATACAATTTATGAATAATCAGCAATGGAAATTTTCCAAAAGGTATAAGGAGATTTCTATCCGTGTAGCCTATTGGTCCCAAGCAAATCGATTAACGTACCCCATTCTAGTCGAAATTCTAGTACTACACTATGTTTGTTTTGATTTTCTATCAAAGTTTGACAGATAAAATGAGGGGTTCATGGATTTTCCTATGTTTCGAGGGGTGCATCGATTAGCTGGGGACCGAAGATAGTACCAGAGCTGAGCCAAAAACTTGAGCACTTTTCTTCGGGACCTACTAGTCTTGGAGTTACCTCTATGCTATTACTCTTGTATCATTGTATGTGACACAAAAACAGATAAGATAATCATAAGTCAAAAATTGTCAAATGTACAGTTCGAAGAGATGGATACACGCTAACTTGAAAGTACCCATTAATAGTTGAAAAAGACCCATTTTGAAGAAAAGTGGCTTAACTCATTAAATGAGTAAATTTTTTACCCATTAATGAGTATCTGTTACCCATTAATGAGTAATTGTTAATCATTAATGGGTAACAGATACTCATTAATGGGTAAAATTGTTTAATCTTTAATGAGTTAAGCCACTTTTCTTCAAAATGGGTCTTTTTTTTACTCATTAATGAGTACTTTCAAGTTAGCATGTACGTGATTGTTACTGCAGACATTTGGACTGCCTAACATCAAAGAAGAATACTAAGATGAAACTGTCAGAAGTGTCGTTTTTCACGGTCCCTTTCATCCAATGCATACCCCCTATGCAAGGTAATTTTGTGGTTTTGCTGTCCCCTCGGTAGAGATGAAATTTTGCGCACTTTTTTTTATCAAAACAATCACACCATAAACAGAGATATCCCATTTTTTAATTACTCGATTAACAACTAATCGATTATTTTGTGTTCGCTGTGCTGTCATTTTTCCACCAATGAGAGTGCAGCACATGTTTGAAACGATCGGTGATGATCCTCTGCAGAAGTTAATGCTTATATCGGCATGATAACCGATTACAAATATTTTATTTTTCGGTTCGTTAATCGATTATTCGAATGAAAATCGGCCATCGCTAGATAAATGTGAAACGTCATTTCAAATATAAGGACCGTACGTAAATAATGATACAATTTGAAAGGGACCGGGGCTAATCATAGGAAGGTACTCTGTTCTGAAATCTGAGAAAGGGAATCTAGTATCATTTAGAACAAAACGTCCAATGTAACACTCATTGATTATGTCATTGAGAAAAATCGGCCAATGTAACATTGCCGATGTACAACTAGTCAAAACGTCCTATGTAATTTTTTTTTCTATATTGTAGCATGAAATTCAAAGTAAAATTGTGATTTTACCGTTTGTACTGAATTTTCAACGTAATTATTCACTAACTACGGTAAAAATAGTATTGCAAAATGTATTGTTTTTAACCATTTAAATCAAGAGGCAAGGCAACTGCGCATAAATTTGAGTTACTCATATTTACTCAAAAATAAACAAAGTAGTCCAATGTTTTTCCTCAAATGATGTTCAAACAATCGACAGAATGTTTTGATTTCAAGATTAAGTTTTCGTTCATTAAGGTGATTCCCTGTAGCGTCCTTTTTCGTGTTACAGTTCGCAATTTCACATGTAAAAATATTAAGGTTTCTCTGAATGCACGTAGTTAAAACTACTACTTGCTGTTTGCTGCGGAGAAGCAAGCAATGTCTGAAATTTGCAGATGTAAAAACCTCGTAGATCTTGAGTTGTGTGCTCTTGAAATTGCGAGGTGTGATGGAAAAATGGACTCCACAAGGAAACCCCTTAAAAGATCCAAATTAGATGGCTCTTGTCCAGACCACGGGATTCTTAGGCCTCTTTTGCTTCCTAGGGATCGATGCCAAAAGTGTAGTGTCTTTAAAGTTTTTGGTGATGTAGTGGTGTTGGTGTTTCCATTTCCCAGCCATTTCTAGCTACCCGGGAATCTGAAAACAGCTGAAGACTCTTCCCGGGAATTGACAGGAATCGGGAAATATGTTTATCCAGTGACCAGTTACAATTTAGAGTACCGTAAAACGGGGTAACATTGATAATTTTTTAAAGTATACTCCATTTTGTAAACAAACCTTGTGAGGCCATTTTCTTGCGAACCGAAACCTACATTCGCAAACCTAAACCAGAATCGGGTAGAGGAGAATTTCCCCTACCTGCTCATTCTGTTGGTTTGCCTTGGCGGACTTCGGTTCGCGAGAAAATGGCCTTACAAGGTTTGTTTACAAAATGGAGTTGAGGCCATTTCAATTTTTGGTCTTGATATTGTAAATATTGTAAACAGCAGTTAATGTTTTTCAAATTTTATATTTTTTAAACAAGGACTGAGGATCCAAGCGTCAATTCGTTAGTAATATGGTGAACGAAAATTAAAGCATTTGCACTATTTTTTAGTTTTGTGACCGAACTTCAGTATTTTGATTTGGGGTTACTTTGATAATGATCGATGAATGAGAAAAAAAT